CGTTCCATGTGTAACATGTACGTATACGTGCGCATGTATATTTCTATCGCGCATGCGTGATAATATATCCGGAACGCTATGTAGAGGAAGAAGTGCTCAGAATGATAACGCTATGAAAATTTTCATAAATAATCTTCGTTATATTTTTTTACGCTATAATTTAAAATGAATTTAAAGAGATAAATGAGAGTATCGATTGATTATGAATGGAATCGGCAGAATGGCGTAATAATAGGTTTTTTAAAATGTTTACAATTTATTATATATATCAAGCTTGCTATATTTATTTTAAAATTGTTTTAAATTCATATTTGTTATTTGTTATTTAAATTAATTTGAGCAAAGTAGATTATGCTTTAATTTCAATTTTAAAAAGATAGTTGGAAATAAAAAACGGTGCGTAATACAGTTTATATTATACATTAATCTATATATCTAATTACTAACTGTCAGAATTGCAAAGATAAACTTTCGCTGGAAAATTTGATAAAATATTTTATATATACAAAATATAAAACTTGAATACATAAAATTATATTCAAAATAATTTTAACTCTGTATAATCCCTTTTTCGAGTGTTTATCAATCGATACAGAAATAATAAATTGCAATTTTATATAGAGAAAAGTTCCATTTAAAAAAAAACATGGAGAAAATTCATATTATTTTTGCGATTCATGTATTCCCTCCTCAGATTTTCCGAAGACGGAGGATCGCCGGAAGAAGTGGTTAGACGCGATTGGAAAGACCGACACGAAAGTGCTCGCTGAATCGTTACTGTGCTCATTTTCCGCAAAGTTGTTTCACTAACTTGACTTAATGAACGACGACGCCCTTCCGTCTACGGAGCCGGAACCACATTCATCCGGCACGATTGTGAAAATCACGGAAAATGAAGATCAGTTAACATCGGAAGAATCAGACAATGAACCATCACAACCGCCGCCATGGTCAGGACCATTGCCATGGCCAGTTACAAGACCCATCATTAAGAAGTAAGAAAATATTTAATTAAAATAATAAACCAACAAGAATGTATTACAATTAACTTTATATGTACGTATAAAAAAGACATTCTTTCTTAATAAACATTTTTTGGAGTCATCTGTTTTAGTTATTTTCTCTTATTTGAAAAAAAAATGTAAAATTGCAATTCAAATTCTTTCGATTAGATATATTACCTGATTTCTTCGCGATTAGATATATCATCGATCGCACTATACTAATTGAGTTTCAAGATTCTCGATATATTCAACAAAAGCGTTTCCCTTTTAAAGGGGGCGACGCAGACACATGCTGTCGGAAGAAGAGATGAAGGAGATACAGCCAATCAAGTATGTACGCTCCATCAGAAGCGTTAACTGGGACGAAATCTCAAAGGTGCCAGCGGAAGCAAAAATCGCCTGGGAGGTGGCAATGGAGGAGTTGAAGGAGAACAATGATGAGATAAAACATTTACATGCACAAGTTCATCAACTCAACGCGACTATTTTGAAATTGAAGAAAGTATTGAAAGCACGAAAGATGATCATCGCTGATGTATCTAATTAAGTTTACATAAAATGCATTTAGTTATCTGAAAATTTAAGTATATAAGCATATAAATAAAACTGATAAACTAACTTGTAAGTTTTCCAAGTTGTAATTTTGAAGCTTCTGAGATTAATAAATTTATGTTTCTACAATACAAATAAAATTTCTGCAGCTAGTTTCTCTTAATTTGTAATATTAATTTCTTAGGATTAAGATAAATTTTATTACGACGTTTAAAAATGCAAAATTTTTACATTTTGAGAAATTTCTTTTACACATTCTTGTAAGAGTTTCTCGGATTAAAGCATATTAAACGCGTTCGCCATCGTATTTTCCGTTCCGCGTCTATTTCTCGACCTTGCTTTCGCAATGTGCAATTCATTTGCAGTCACGAATAAATAGCGAAGCGAAACATTCGAACTCGGTAGGGGAAGCACCGCAATTACGGCGTGAATAAGATTCTCTCTTTCTCTCTATTATAACTCACGCGAACGAGACGGGGGCTGATTTTAGCTGTCGTGTATTTGCATTCGACTATGCGACTGCACAATCAGACGACGTGCTGCAGTAAAAGCAAATGCGCTCGTCGATGGTGGATCCTTTCAGCGAAAACAAATGCATGGGCGCGCTCGTATTCGCGTTCTCTTCTCCACGTGACAGCGGTACACGTAATACGTTTACCACCCGACAACAACCCGTGAAAATATATGGAAAGAAGCGTAAACAAGAAACGGGAGGTCACTAGGCGAAAACAAAAAGCGATGTGCGAGCGAAATGCTGGGCAGGGGATAAAAGCAGCGATGGAATCATCTTTATTTGTCTTTTAGATAAAAAAATATTAATATTATAACATTTAAAGTAAAAAATATAAAATATAAAAAAGTAAAAAATAAACAAATCGCAGCAGAAATTGAAATTTTTGTTGATAAAAAAAATTTCTTTAATAAATTTATTTACTTTATTTAGATAAAACTAAGTTAAGGCCTTATACTTTAAACGTTTTTCAAAAGAATGTTAAATAAAAATCGTATTTATATTGCATTGGCTCATCTTTTATACAGAGTTTTCGGACGCAGCACTGCATGAAACGAGCAAGAGAGAGAGAGAGAGAGAGAGAGAGAGAGAGAGAGAGAGAGAGAGAGAGAGAGAGAGAGAGAGAGAGAGAGAGAGAGAGAGAGAGAGAGAGAGAGAGAGAGAGAGAGAGAGAGAGAGAGAGAGAGAGAGAGAGAAAGAGGTACGACCGCATAGGAAGATCAAGGCGGAAAGGATAACACTGATAGACAGATGGAAAACAAGAATAACAGCAACGGACGCACAAGCGGGGATTGAGAGCGTGGGAGGTTCGAAATGCATTCACGATCCTCTAGAGAACTCCGACAAAACTCTGCCGCAGTACACTAAATCACCATCCCCGGCGCCTGTATATCGCCTGTATATTGCCGCGGGATGATGAGGAGCTAGTAGAAATACGTGCGAATCCAGTCATTCTTTATATTTTATTCCCGTTTCATTTCACCTCCGGCTGTACGTACTGAGCCGAAAAAAAAGCGGACGACTCGTTATGGGAACGGCGATGCATCATTATTGCGCGATGCATTTTCGCGCGCAGTGAAAAATATCATAGATACCGATGCGATGATGCGCAAAATCTGTCTTTTTTGAATCGAATAGAAGAAAAATTGGTTGTTTATTCGAGAAAACAGTAGTTCTGAAAGAAATAATTTAGACGCGGCGAATAAAAATCTATATCTATGATTGAATAAATAAAAATTTTTTATCACGTTTTCGAGAAATAAAGCGACACTCTATAGCCAAAAATTCGTGAAATCTTCACAATTCAATATTGTGTACAGTATGAATAATAGTACAAAGAGTTAAAACTCAAAGAAAGAGAATAAAATCCAAAAACGACATATGAAATTTCTAGTAATACATTTTGCGTTTAAAGACGGGAAATGCGAAATGATTCATGCTGCGGTTCGGCAAAGAAAGCACCATGTATATTCGTCCGCACGTGCAATAATGTGTTTTTGCCTCGCAACATTGCATTACAAAGCCAGTATATATAAAGACGTGCTGGGAAATCGCAGCTGGAAACGTCAGGTCAAAAGTTTCTCTATTTTCAAACATCACAACAAGCTGGAAACTCGCTCGTTTCTCCGACAGTTTTATTTGAACGATATGATGCGTTATTTTTGCCATCAGTTTTATTGCCAGCGCACCGTAGCACCGTGAAAAGTCTGCATATATATTGCGGAGAAAAGTTTTGATGTCGAAAAGTTCTACTTGCGTACAACCAGCTTTGATATCGGTTTAGTTAGTTAAATTAAAAAATTTGTATTTATCTAATAATATTTTGTAAAAATAACAATTTGGGAAAATGCTGCGAAATAGATAGAAACTGACATTTGAAATATGATCCGAGAAATCCGCAAAGAAATAGTATAGCTGTATTATCGCTTATTGTGTAACGCAAAGAGAATTCATGAATAATGGCTTCTTTTATACGCTTATTTATAGTTTACGCGTTTACGCGTTTCTCGGGCTTGATGGGTACGCGTAAAATTCTATAGAGCTATTCACAGTGAAATACATGGCAAAGTACTTGGCGAGCGCAAGCAAGTGCGGTTCGCTATGCAGCGGCTGACTATCGAGCGAGCTTGCTCTACTGAAAGACTGGCTGTACACGCCGTTGTCGGGGACTACAAAATGCCTTATCTACTGCAAGATGCAGGTCCTTGCCAAAATTCAAATTTTCGACGCTGCTGATGCACAAAATCTGTAATCCCGATTAAAAGATCATGTACAGTGTGTCTCAATCGATACCAGATTCTCATTCGGCTTATAAAACTGAATTATAAGCTAAAAACAGACTTTTCATTAGCAAAGATTTGCAAAACAATTTTATTTGCAATTTTAACATTTTGGTAGCTAAATATATTAACTTGATCTCCGATGTTGTCAGCACCCTGTACAGTGGATTGCAAATTTCCGTATTGCATCAGCAGTTCAGCCAGGCGAATATAATCAAGCTGTTTCTCATGACTGCACGATCAAAGCAACTTTTGGCATACTCAAGTTGCAAATAGCGCGAGATGAAATGATGTGAATAATTTCAACAATATTGTATGTATCGCGATAACTAATATCGAACATAAACTCGGATAATTTCGGAAATAAGATTGGCGACATTGCTTGTCGATTACATAATAATTATTAACTTGAATTCTAATATATAATTTTGACACGTATTCTTGTCGTTCTCACTTTTAACTCAAATTTAATTCTAATATACTTAAATAAATTTAAATCGCACAAAAAAAGAAGACAGCAATGCAGAATAGTATGCGCGCGATAAGACAAAAGTTGCGTTTGCAATGCTTTAATATATACAATTCATGGAACATTTAAATACCGCGTTATTTTCAATGGTCGGAAATATAAATGTTGCGAAAAAGAGTACTTACCGTACATCTGCTGAATCCCATGCCGGTCGTCCTCTGGCAGCTCGTAGTTGGGACTTAATCCTTGATACCAAGGATACATAAGAGCACCTTGAACCGAACTGTGCGCTAGTCCCAGAGAATGGCCAAATTCATGAGCGGCCACCGCAAACAAGCTGGTGCCTGAAAGAAGCACGGAAGATACTCAGAACCCGTTCTTATCTCCGCAGGGTTTACCTACTAACCCAACCACACGTGTATGTCAAGCGCAATACCTGTTTGTATGTGCGCAAAATACATGCGTAGAATAGCACACCGCGAGGATGCGACATTTTTATACTCTCTGCACTTTAATGAAATATTTGCAGAGGCAAAAGCCACTATACGTTTAGCAAGATAAGACCAGTTACACAAAATAATTATAAAATTATTTAATTACTTTGTATGGCACAAAATACTGAAATTCGTGCAATTAGAGTTCTACTTTTCACGTTCTCCATTCTTGTGGAAACAATCAAAGCGATAACTTTTTACGCAAACGTTTAAATAAATTCAGCTTTAATTACGTATTTTTTTTACTACTTTAAAAGATACTGTGTCGTGAAAAAAGAGAAAAATGTATCAGACTTTTTTCATGCTCGCGTGCCGAGTTTTCCGGGCAATTGCATCGGGAATTGCCACCGCTGCTGCGGAATCTCCGCCTTCGTTTCGTTTCGTTTCGCTGCGATTCGATTTCAACCCGCATCAAGGAAGTACGTTTCTAGATATGGGATCGTAAAACGATTGCCAATCCGAGGGTCGTCGACGCCGAAAAAATTGATAGTATCGCAAATCATTGCTTGCATTGCCGAGAAAGTGCCTCGATACTTCGATATCGAAATTTCACGAAAAATCTCCTGCCGTAGATTTGCACTCAACAATCGGCAAAAATGTATATCTACTTATAAAACTTTCTATCAAAACATCTATTTAAAAGATTATAATATTTTTATACAAAAAATTCTATCCATATAAAATCTATTCTAAAAAAATCCACAAAATTTCAAGCTTTTTTACAATTCAGATACGTACAATTCTAGTTTTTAATATATGCATAAATTTAAAATTTATAACAATGCTTTTTTCATTATTAGCATTTGCTAATAATGTTAGTTAGAAACCATTTTCGCTCTCCATATTTATTCGTTATGTTCATATAGATGCAGTATAAATTGTATAAATGATAAGAAGATGGCTGTAAAATGCATGAACTGTTTGTGAATTACCGAAGGTATTTACTCACAAGCTCTTGTTTTGATCGCACAAGCGTTGCAAACGCGGAACAATAAACCTGGGTTAAAGTTGCTAAAATTGTGCGCGTTTACGGTTTATCGTTGATTAGTCGTGCACATGTTGTTCTCGATTTGCGTTAAGAGATCTCACTGGCCGAAATATTATTACGCGACGAATGTGTAGTACATTGCAGGGAAAACTTTTGCTATATATTCCGAGCAGATACGATCTTTTCTTCTTGGTTCATCTCTGCGGGTTTAAAAAGCAGACGTGACTCAGAATTAGACGAGATTTTGGAATCGAGAAAACTTTCACACACACACACACACACACACACATATACCCAAAAGATGTGTCTCGAAATTATTCAACACTTTATAATATATAGTGTTAATGTGTTGGCTATAAATGCGCATTTGTGAAAAGGATTATAGATATTTTTTTTATATATTTTTACAAAATAAAATTCTTATTTTCAAAAAATATGCACTTAATTCATGAGCAGATATCTCTTCTCATATTTATATTTTTATGTAAATCACTTTATAATTTTTAAGACGGATTCGTTAAAATGTATTTATTTTATAAGGCTATTTGTGAATGCTGGACTTTGACTGACACGTGATCATACAAAAGTCATTATCCTAAATGACCATTACAGGTAGTATCGCTCTACACATGAACGTTTAATAATTCTCGTTAAGCAAATGTCGTTAACGGCGAGGCTGGCCTAGCTTTAAATTAACTCTGTTATATTGAGATACGCGAGAGGACGATACATGTCCTGGACAGGGAACAAATGTAACCGATTTGCGAGCGGCATCCAACCGCAGTTATGTCAGTTATGAATTGCTAATGCCACGTCGCTGACGCCGCGTTCCCACGGGCACGGAATTCCGTCGCGCAATCTTTGTAAATAGCGAGAGAAACCATGATACAGTGGTTTGCAAATCACATTGTGCAGCCGACATCCCGCGAGAGGCTCCGATTCGCTCTCCGAAGATCGTTAATCGAACCGAATATTATTGATTTCTCTGATTCCAAATGAATTTTATTTTTCCGATTATTCGTTCTTGATTATCTTTTATTTTCTTTACGTATTTCGAATCAATTTAATAACTACAGAGTTCGAGAGACGTATGGATCTTTCAAAATTTTTCATGAATTTTAGAATTCCCTAAAGGCATGTTGCGAATAAAAAGAAGAAGAGGAAAAGAAGAGGCAAAGAAAATGTGCGCAAAAAAAAACGAACACCACGGAGATTTTAATTTCTTTAGACAAACGCGCGTACTTCGAGGTTTTAATTTCTTTACTCCTAAACACTCGCTCGTCGCGCTGTCGAGATTTAAATTTCTTTAGCCGCTGCACATCGATATTATAAAGGAGTTTTAGCATGATTAGCGAGAAAATCAATACCAATAACTATTTCACTGAAATCGAGTCACACGTTTATCAATGAGTCATGTATAATATCCCAAATCACCGTATTTTCTTCTAATTTCTTTTCGAATCAATATGAGTCGCTCTTCCATTAACAAAAATTAGATTTCTTTATTTTTTCTAAATATTGATAATCATAGTAATTTTTTCTACATTCAACTTCAAACATTTTTGCGATCAAATTTAAAGTCCTTTCAAACAATAATTATTTTTTTAGTTATAAATATAATTTATAAATGTAAAATATATAAAATGTC